TTCCTTACCACAGCCAGCTGAGAAATTCAGGAGGATTTTGCTTAAATTCTTACAAAAGATTTCAATGTGCAGTTAATCGCCTGTTGTCTGCCTCCAGATTGGGGGGTTGCCAAAGCATACAGCCACCAAAGTGGCTGTGGTCAGGTGCGTGCAGTGTGAATTACGAAGGGAGCTGTGTAACTTGCAGGGAACCAAATAACCTCACTTACCTGTATGACCCCTTAAGCCCTCCTACTATAAGGTATAAGCAACCTGCTTGTTCTCCTCTGGTCACAGGGGTCTGTACTATGGCGGCTTATTCGATGCTAATTGTTCTGCAGCTCTGACACTGCAGAAAATAGACATTTCCTCTCCTTGCTGATTTTTATTCTGATTTTGATGTCAGTTGCTTATAAATGATAGGTTCTGATGGAGTACAGTTGAGTATAGATCCAGGAAAATCAAGTGATTGATGCCCATTTGGAACTACCTGGGAAAGTGGCTTAACTTTTTGGTGCCTGGCAGCGTGCCTGCACTTGCAGTAGATGTTCTCTGGGGAACCAGAACGTCTGTGGCGTTTTTGGAAAGGGGAATTAAGTCTATGGCTTCTCTTAAGTGACTTATTCTAAAGATACATGGATTTTAAGTCATCAAGTTGGAAGATCATGTTAATCTGCCCTCATCTCAAGTTATGGGGAGTCTGGGTATCTCCGGGTCAGGTAGTAAATATAAGTGCCCAGTATCTTGTAATATACCAAAACACATTTGTGGCTGAAGTGACTATTTGTCAGGTTTCTGATATTTGTAATCCTAAATTTCAGTACTTCCAGACTGTGCCTCTAAACTTGCCATGTCTATAATGGTGAAGGTGCCAATCAATGTACCAGTCAATCACAGTAAATTCACTTCTAAAGGAAGAAAAAGGTGCGTCTCGTGCTGGAGACGTGTCCATTTCCCAGCAGCAGACTGCGGTGTAGGACCAAACTCCCACTTGTCGTATGTCACAGGAATTCCTCAGCATTTTCCTTTATGATCTCTCTGTGTTAACAGAACTATTAGGGAATTCTTGTTACTCTCTTAAGTGAGCAGCTCTTTGGGATCTTTGCAGACTCGGTTTCTTTTTTAGTGGTACACTTGATTATTTTTTTTTAACTCACAGCTGCCTTGAGTGAATCATTCTGGAAACTTGTTAGTAAGGAATTTTAAGAAAATATTCTTTTTCTAAAAAATTTTTTTCCATTGGAATGTGTTTTGAACTGATTTCCTAGCCAACACCTTTGCGAAGACAGGTGCCATTTTTACCTTCTGGTATTAAAACTAGTTTCTACTTGTGGAACTCCAAAAACAATTTTACAAATGTATATAACTTTTCTTAAAAGTTCAGGTAGACTGTAAACGTGGTAATGGCTCTCATCCAGGTATTGCTGCAAATACTTCACTGTTGTTGTTTGATGGGCAATTGTCTGTTGGATTCAGCTGCTTTTAAAATAAATAAGGAATGCCAACTACTTGCTAATGAGTTTCCAAAAGCATCATACAAACACCTGTCAGGCTTCGCTGTTGGGTTTTAACCAGCCTTTGCAGAGCCACAGGTCCTGAAGTGGCTCCTTTTGTGTCGTGGCACAAGGAAGCTTGGAAGAAGCCCGAGCATGGCTGGGGAAGCAGTATCTGATGCTTCCTGGCAACTTGTAGAAAGCTTGTGATAGATCCTGCCAAGGTGACATTTGCTGTTTAAATACTGTCCTGGATATAGTGTGGTGTGTGTTTTTTAGCCTGCAGATTTCATGTAACACATGGTTGTTATTATGAGGCAAAATAATGACCTCGCACAGGCTGCAGGGTTTCCTTTCTTAACCTGCTGTCAGTGACCTTTCAAGCCTGAGGCCCTTACTAAAGTGGATACGGTTTTAATGGTAAAAGCTCAAGCTCCTCCTAATGAGGAAGGTTATAAAATGGCCCTTCATACGCTTTACCTAAAGGTTTTATTCTTTGCTTTGAATCTCAGAAAACGGGTGTGCCTCTAGTTTAACGTAGGCTCCGGTGGGCGATTTCTAACGATGCACCACGACAGCACACTCACAGCACTGGTGGGTACCTCTGGTCTTTGCTCAGTTTGTGCCCAGCTACGTCATCATCTGAATTTCACGTAATCCATGTAATTACAGGAAGGGAGTAACTAAGAACATGGTGCCAAAACAGTGGCAAGGTGACGCTTTCCCAGCCTCTCTTCCAAAAGTCAGTTGGCGAGGGCTCGGGAAGCAGAACCATGTGCTTTGTGTAACAAGGTGTAGTTAATTCAGGTTTTTGTTGTCACCATTTTCCAGTGTTGATGTAACTTTGCAATAGAGGATACGAATCAGGCACGTGCCCAACCTGGGCCTGCTCCCGTGTAGACTTGGACATCCATTTATCCATAGAGATATTGGTTGAGATTCTGGAAACCACAAAAAGCCTCTACATGGTGTCGTGCTGTGTCCTCGCTTACTCTGGTAACGTGGGTCTGTTTCCATCTGTCTCCAGACCCTTTTCCTTCCAAATGTCACTGTCCTCTGCCTTGCTAACTGCAGGTGTGGCGTGGCCTGGGGCACAGCTGCCAGGAATGTGGATCAAACGGGCTTTTCCCCCTGCCTAAGGCGAGGGCCTGACCTTGACTTGGCAAAGCTGAATCTGTTACAGCTGGTCCTGGTGTGCTTACTGTAATGCATGGGTTGGAAATAGTTGACTCTTTAGTGTAACCGCTTGTCCCACAATGAAGTTCCCATGACTTTAAGGTGGAATGAAAACATTGTGAAAACATTCCAGGAGTACTTAGTCTTTCCTCTTTGGGGACACTGTCACCTCCACTAGGTTTAGTGCTGTGCTTTAAGATGTTGGTGAGAGTATTGGCTAATTCAACTAGTTGGTCTAAATGGTTGTGTAGCAGAATGACTGATTTTTGAGATAGCATTTCCTGTAAAAGTAATTAAGCATGGGTTGATGGTGCACTTCGTATACAGTAATCTGGCGTGCATGCTGGTAAACTACTTCCTACACTTCAGAGGCACCACGAGCCTTTTTATCCAATTGCTGGTTATGTAAAATACATGCAGAATGTTAATGCAGTGTTGTTATGGTAAATGTGTGAACAGTGTTACTAATTGATATAACTGATAACAGATTACATGTGCCTGACATTCTTATACCACACAGTATGTTTAGGTTTTAACCAATATGGACTTCGGTGGAATAGTCTTAGATATTTCAAGCCTTTGTTTTACTTACACAATGGTGCTCTATTTGTGTTTTTCTCCTTTTATTTTTTTGAATAAAAGCATCTGAACACTTATAGTACATATTACGTCCAAAGGAGTCCAAAACAAAATGCTTCTAAACATGCTTGATTTTAATTTGCCTTTGGTTGCCAGCATTTCCATCAGCTAGGTTTCTTTTCTTTCTTTTTTTTTTTTTTTTTTAACTTGTTGCTGACTACTTTGGAAAACTTCAGTAATGTTACTAATTATGAAGTTATTCTGCACTGCCTTTGGATTGTGTTATGTATTCAAAAACAGTCTTAAAGCTTTTATTTAAGCTATTCAAAAACCAGGGACTTGTGCCATTTGTTCTTTAACAGTGCTGTTGTAAAAAGACTTCCCTGTGAAAAAAAAAAATCACTTGCTATGAACTCTGTTTATAGCTTTTTTTTTTTCCTGCAATGGATCTTTTTCTTTGTATTTGTACAGTGGCTCAGTGAAAGATGTTGCCATGAGTTGATATTGTAACCAATAAACAAGTGCTTTTAACCAGACTGTGTCACTTGTGAATGTTTAATTGGAGCTGCAAGGAGCGTCCCCTGTCCTAGAGCGCACAGTGGTTCCTGTGACACTGAACGTGGATCCACCAGCCCGACCTACAACATCATTCGTGGTGTCAGGACTCCTGTTACACAATCCCACACTCCCACAAGGGGCAGACACCTTCACACCCCCCCCGTCAGGCTACTTTCTCCAAAGCCAAACCCTTTATTCAACTGGTCAGCACTGCTGAACAGCGTGCACAGCTTCCTCTCTGCTGCAGAAGCTTTTTCAATCCAACCTCAGCAGTTGTCCTCTACTGCATCTGCATTACATACAGGAGAGCCATGGTGGAGGTTGTCGTTGTCTGACATAGCTACCAAATAACTTCGTAGAGCAAAGGAGGAGTAGTTTTTTAATAAACTAGAACACATTCATGTAAAGTTTTACCTTCATACAATGTCCATAAAAATGCTCCAGAAAAAGAGCATTACACACAGCTGTGACCTCACACACGAAGGCTGGGCTGTTGCTCATTTTTGTATTTGACAGTTTCCCTCAAAAACCTTGAGACTCTTCACACGTGTTGCTGCTGAAAGGTCCAGGAGCACCATGCCTGTGCTACCTCAGTCAGACACAAACACCATGACACATTGTGGTGAAACAGTGCTCTTTGTCTTCAAATAACTATCTGCCTCTGGCATTAGCTTTTGCATCTATTTCATTTTATGATAGCCTTTACAGGAGAATAGCAAATCTCTGCATCTTAGTTTTAAAGCTGAATACTTCATTTAGTCATGTTAACACTTCCATAAAAATATATAAATACTCTGAAAAGGCTTTCTCTTTCAAAATAAGTTACTTTTTAAAAGTCTAGAAAAAAGTAGCTGTTAAATGATTGCAGATGGCAACAGCAAAACTTTTTTTTAAAAAAGAGGCTTTGCATTGCTGGAAGTGAGCAAAGGTGAGACTGCAACACATCTGCACTGCCTTAGGTCTCACCTAGCAGGGACCTGGTCTATAGCAGAACCAAGGGAATGCTCAAGGCCAAGCCTGACATCCAGAGCTTCCCCACCCAATGTGCAAAACCCGAGTCAAGAGGATCAGCTCCACACGTGCACCTTTGCCTGGATGCTGGCGAGGTGGCAGTGACACCTGTGGCTCACATGAACCTGGCTTCCTGCTCTCATGGGCAAATGATTTCAGCACCTGACCCACTGCAAGAAACCAAACAAGCTTGCTGAAATAGGCTTGGTTTTGCTGAGTCTAACTCCACCTTGTCTAAATGTGGTAGCCAGAGGGGAAACTAGAGACTACTGCCTTCCAATAGCGAGTGTGCTGCAGTTTACCATCGACTTGTGCTTCCATTTGAAGACAAGGAGCTGCTGCCCAGCACAATTTCACCTGCTTTAAAACAGGTCAGGAATCCTTTCCCCATGCAAGAGTTCACACTTCATTAAACAAAACCACACACACATGAAAAAGCAGCAGCATCCTCCACCCCTGGCTCATTCCTAAACCACTGAAAACAGGAGACTGATCACTGGGATAAGCTCTCTCCCTGCATAAACTCCTGGATGCCAGGAAGTGAGACTTGCCACTGCTAAATACTAATGAAAACCGTTAAGGATTTTGGGTTTTTATTGTCAAACGCCCAAAGAAATATAGTGTTTAAAGGTAATTTTTAACCCCAAATCTGTCAAACAAACAAAGTTCAGAGTACCACTCTGTACCACCGCTCTGCAGCTTGGTTCACCATCAGAATCCCAAGTTTTACAATAATTCACAAGTGTAATCAAAGAAACATTTAAAATACAAATAATTTCATGTGACTCCACAGAGGAGAAGTGTCATCTGTAAAATTTCTGCTTTGTCCTACAAAGGATCACTGGGAAAGTTAGCAATGATGTTTTATTTATTCTTTTGAAGAAAATGTTTTGTAAAGCGATCTAGTTCATTCTCAAGCTGAATGGCTTTATTTCTGTAAAACAAACAAAAGCAATGGATTTACTTCAGTGCAGGAACGTCATCAAGAAGGTAGAAACAACACAGAATCACAGGATAGTTTGAGTTGGAAGGGACCTTGAAAGATCATATACTTCCAACTGCCCTGCCATGGGACACCCATCAGTGTTTAATTTTCTCCTCCTCCGTTCCTGAAGCCAACAGCACCCAGAAAACCCCCAGAGAAGCTCTGGTCAGAGCTCCAGAGGCTGCGAGTGCAGGACCTGACCAGGCGGCAGAAGGCTGCCAGCATCTACCACGTTTCCTCTTCCCCAGCTACATCTGGGACTTGCCTGGTTTTGGCATTTCCTTTCCATGTTCAACCTGGGAGGGGTTGAGCAGCTGCACTAGGGACAGCCAGTGGGGCCCCCCACACAGGCTGCTCTGGGGCACACCATGCCAGGGGTGTGTGCTGTAGGGCCAGACCTTCAGCCCATCCTGGTCTTGAATGCCCCAGGCCAAAAGGTGGCCCACAGCCAGGGCAGGTGAGCAGCAGGGGAAAAGAACATGAAACAAAGCTGAGGCTGCTCCCAGGTCCCTAAACCACCAATTGCTGCAACTTTCTCTTCTGCCAACACCTACTACTGCCCTAAAGAAAACCAATACGCACTGAATGGCACAAGCCAGTACAGCTGCTCTCCCGTTCTCCTTTGGAGTGGACTCCTTGGGAAGGTGCCACCCTAATTTACCTACAGAAGATTAATATTCTTGAGAAAGCCCCCTCTCTCCTACGATCGAGAGACAAAGGTAAAGATGATCTAAGAACGAACACTTTCGGGCTTTGCTCATTCACCTAGGTGGAAGCACTCACTTCTTTTAACTTCAGCAGAGCTGCTGGGTTAACAATGAAGCAAGCTGGTACCGCTGCACACCGTTCTGCACCCACGCCCACCTCAGCTCAGTCAAAAATAACAGCAACCGCTAGTCACGCTGAATCTGCCCCTGGCCAGTCACACCCAGACTCACCTTAGCTGCTTGGAGCTGCTCTGTATGCTCTCCAGCTGGTCTATTTCTTTGGAAAGCCTGGCAATTTCTGTCTCCAGGTTCTTCTGGGTAATATCCACTTGCTGGCAGAGCCGAGCAAATGTTGTGGCCATTTCCCTAGAGGGAGAACAAATTTGTAATCATGGTTTACTGAAGTCCCTGCTTTAAACAAACAAACAAGAAAAAACCAAACCAAACCACAAAAAAACCCCAAAACTTTAAGAAGAAAAAAGAGATAAAAAAATCACACAGCACTGCAGTGTCCAGCAGAGTCTCCAGCTGTTCAGGTATTACAGAATAGCAGAAAGCAGGAGAATTATGTATGTTCTGAATAAAGAAGAGGAATCTTAAACATACAGAATGTCTATGCCAACATCACGTCTGGCAGTTTCTGATGAAGCATCAGCAGCGCGAGTCTGAGATGGGGCCTCTGGTGGTAGCAGGTGCTGGAGCAGCCAAGTGCTGCCCCGTGCAGTGCCCCAGGCCACGCTGAGCACCCTGCTCACTACATGAGCACTCTGTAGGGTGAGCAGTGGCCCAGACTTGCTGAGGCATCTGATCCTACTTCCCTCCTCAGCCATGTGTGGAGTTCCAAGCAAGACTCCTCCTCACACAAAGGAAAATAAGCCCCGTTACCACCCCAGGCCAGCAACCAGGCTCTCCCATAGGAGAGGAGATGTCACCTCTCCTCTCTACTTCACCTCACTGGAGCCTTGGTTTGAGTCCAGCTCTTCTATGTCCTCACAGAGACACACAGCTGCTGGACACGGGGGATGATTCTCTTTCCTCTGCTGAAGCTGAACTTTGTATTAGTAAAGTATTCCCTGGGCTACACAGGAGAGGTGTTCTGCACCCTGGTGGTTAGAGGTCTCATTTAGCACGCTACTTTTCTGAAATAATAATTTAACCAAAACAAACTCTTTCAACAGGAGAATCTGAGGGAGACAATCACTGATACATTACTTCGCAGAGACAGGTAGAAAATTATTTGTGAAAGACACAGAAGTAAAAAAAAGGAACAGTTCAGAAAGGCTCTTCAGTTCCTCTTCTGCAGTGCAAAAGAACCAGGACTGGCTGCTTAGAACTGGCCTGTACCAACCCCTGAGGCAGGACAAATGCTCACCATTATTAAAGTGACTTGGGGCTGATTTGATGCCTACCTAAAAGCAGATCCATTCAGATTAGAACAGAATCAACTCCCATGTCTTAATAGTAAAGTGCTGGACAAGAGTCCACATCTGACAAGTAACTCTTGCACACAGAGAGACACGGACGTGTGTATGGACCTTTAAAACTCCCTCACTGTAAATGCCAAGGGACACTACTGCTACCTTCCCACCAGGCACAGCCAGGCCCCACTCCCAGGACACCCTAGCACCCCTGACACTTTTTAACACCAGTGTGACACTTACTGTTGCACCTGATGGCTGCAATTAGCGCTTGTAAGACTGACAATCATCTGCAGCTTTTCAGTAGCATAGTTGACAAACTGCTGTTTAAAGGCTCTCTCCTTGGCTTTAGTGGTCCAGGTTAGTCTTTCATAAAGATATAACAGCCCGTACATACTTAGGGAGACAGAGATGAGTTTCCAGCCTACTGTTCTCCAAATCTGAAAAAGAGGAGTCTTCATTAGCTTAAGCAAACTGCACCTACAGAATACAAATTAATTCCACCCATTTTTAAAAAAATCATCTTCACGGCCCTTTCAGCAGATTAGTTTAAGAAAAATAGATTACTTCTGTATTACTACTGCAGCCCAGCCCAGCCCAGCTGTGTTCAGAGGAGCTGGCAGCCCAGTGGCACAGAGAACACGCAGAAGCCTTGCTCCTTCTTCACAAAGGAGGAAAGGAAAAGCAAATCTCCCACTAAATCCAAATTGAATGTGGCCCCATCAAATCACCCTTTAATTCAGAAACTGAACGCTGGCATATGGCACAGAGAATATGTCCAACCATGCCCAGAGTAACTAGACTAATTTTCTCCCTATGAAGTGCCTGCAGGTGCCCAGTGGACCACAGACGCTCATCCACCAGCGCTGTAAATCTGTGACACGCTGCCCCCCAGCAGGAGAGACCTGCTCCATCTTTGCCACCACTTCTAGCACAGCCAATGTTGCTAATGCTACTTGCCACTCCGCCAACAACGATGATGCTCATAGAGGTCCGCGATGTCAGGGAAGCTAAACTCATGACCAAAGGAACCATAAAATCATCGTGCGACACGTTCTCGGGAGTTACGGCAGGAAGGCTGGCAGCAGATGGGGTGGCAGCTAAAGGACGAGGGATCTAGAAGAGTGGAATAGGGCAGCCTGAGTAAAAAGCATCAAGGAACTACACAGCAAACTGGTTTTATTTTCATATATTCAGGATCTGATTTACTGAAAGGAAACTCTTCAGCACAGAAATGCGAAGAACGCTCCTGATAAGCTGTGGAGGTTTTGACAGCTCATTGCCCAGCAGGGGACTGGGCTAGAGTAAGAGTCCTACGTACAAATGAAAAGGTTACCCAAGGGATTCAATCCAAAGGAAAACAAAACTCAGGCAGCAGCTGCACAAAGTTTAGGAAAGGGTTTCTGTTTCTTTCAAACCCTGAATATAATCCAATAAAACCAAACCTCACCAAAAATATTTCACACAAAGGGACTAGGGGAAAACAGTGGCAAGCATGTAAATAGTAGAGGCAAATACAGTAAAAATCAACAGACTCTCACTGAGGTAAAACAAGGCACTTAATGTCAGCCTGGTCCCCAAGGCACTCACTTGTATGTTTGGATCTACTAGTCCTGACAGTACTTTCTGAGCTTGTTTAGGACCCAAGAAACGGTTCACAAGGGAAGTCCATCCCAAGGAAAAGTGGAACATGATGTCCTCCTGAAAATCTGCACACAGACTGTGACAGTTTAGGTCATAGCTAAGGTCAAACCTCCTGCATGGAATTAGTAAGTGGAGCTGATTCTGAGCACCAGAAGGCAACAATGGTTTCAGATTTTCTAGAAATAAAACAGAACAGTAAAGATGAGTTAACATTAAAAGCTCTACAGCATATTCACAAATACCACCCTTGCTCTGCTGAGCCACTCTGTGAACTACAAGAACCTAAACTGACAGATTTATTTATTTGTAAAATCAGTGGACATTTTAGCAGTATTCATCATTGCAGACGAGGCAATTCATTGCTCTGATAAAAAACTGGCCATGCAAAGTTAACTCACAGAGAAAGCGTCGCATGAAAAAATGGTCAGATTAATTGAGACACCCCTATCAGTGGTCAAAAGGTAAGGAGGGACTACGGCAAAGTTGGCTCATCCAGCAGCTCTGTGGTGCCATACAGAAAAGGCAAGATTACTGCCTCATGACAGAAGGCTCCACGTAATTCCATGATCCTGCTCCGAGTCTCTTCTTACCGGAAACAGATTGGAAGAGAGATATGGCTAGGCATAAAGTATGGGTAAGTATATAGTTACTACTTACTAAAAAAATAAGAGCGAAAAAATGGAGCGCACAAAGTCTTTGTGGCACTGTCTTGTTTTGTACTAAGAATCTACAGAGACCCAGGGAGAGGATTATACTGCAGAAACATTTTCTAACTATTAGTGTATTTCACAGATCTGTTATGGAAGCCAAAAGTTTAAAAGGGTTTATATAAGGATTAGACAAGTTTCCCAAGGACAGGCCCATTACTATTTGCTTAAGCCATTAACGCAGATGCAGCATTCTGGCTCAGAAGTCCCTAAATCAGGGATGGATCACTGTATTTACCCTGGCTCATTGTTCTCCCCAAGCATCTGCTACTAGTTAATACCAGAGACAGGCTACTAAGCTGACCAAACACTCCTGGCTTGGTCTTGATCTAGGATGGCCTTTCTTTTATCATTTTATAATGTTAAGGTTGTCATGATCAGAAAAATATTTCTTTCAAAGAAAATTCTTTTAAAAGCAAGTTTTCTTAAATTGTCTTCCTCTAACAAAAGTCTTGACGTCATCTTACCAATCATGTCCTGCTGCGACTGATGCATTGACTGATTGACTTCACTGGAGCAACGATCAGCCAGGTTCTTTCCCAAACCATCTTCAATATGTTTGTTCAGTTCCTTAAGTTTTATAAGATTAGATGCTCATCAGTTTCTATTTAGCTGATCGATTACATTACACAGAGCAGAGATACGTTAAACACCAAGCATTGTTATTTACAGCAGAAGAAAATAATGTTACCATGGCAATACCATGCTTTTAACTTGCACGCTGGGACTGAAAACCTAATAAAAACAACACAGGCAAGATTTCTCTAGGATTGGAATCATTGAAAGGCACATGGAAAAGTCTGTATTTTCAATTTTCTCTCACATTTTCATGCTCACCACTACACTACCACGCTGCCCTGGCAAGGCCTTTACTACTGCCCCTTGTGGAAGCCAGTTTCTCTCCTCTGCAGAGAGGGAAGCCGATCCCATCAGCTCCATGGAGGCCTCCTCTGGACATCTGGCAGAGCCAGGACAGCACAGTGTCCTGAGAACACAGGGCTCCCAGCTGACCAACAAGGCTGGGACAGGCAGGAGTCATGGCAGCCAGTCATCAGCAGCAAAGTGTGAGCATACAAGGCAAAGGCAGGGGCATCCTCCTTTAAAATACTAAGTTTTAGGAAGAATTTCTAGACATTTAGTAATAATAATTTTTTTCTTATAAATAATAATTTTTAATAAATTACATGCTGGGTATTTGCAAGCTCACTTTATTTTTGGATCTAGTTAATTTTAGGAGTCACGGAAATTGTTTATGCAAGGTCTTTATTTACTAGAGGCGAAGACTACAAATCACGATGTCAGGTTCAGTAACCACTCTAGCAAGAAGATGGTTGAAACAAAAATTAATTTCTTAAAAAAAAACAAACACAAAAAAAACCAAAGCAGAACGTATTTTCCATCTTTTCCAGTTTTAGGTAAACTGAGATATACATACGTCAGAAAGCAAAACCCCACAATTCTTGAAGTGCTAAATAAAATGCTATGCAAATCCTGAAAATACAGAAGTAGAAACTAAAAGAAAGATAAAGAGCCTGAATTCAAACCATGCAAGAAAACTTACTGCCTTATAGAGCTTCAATACTTGAGGAGATGGGTGAAAATCTGAGTAAAATTCATCAACTAAAACGGAAAGTCGGCAAATCTCGTCAGTCATGGCAGAGGAGACCTGGAAGAATGTGGTAAATACATAAAATGTTTCTACTACCTTCTCCAGCTGGAGTGGAAACAGACCACTGCATTGAATCAGTTATTGCAACCATCATTACCTGACAGTGAGGAAGGACTGCCACTTTGAAGGGGTTTTGTCTTGTTTGTTTTTTAATACTGGAAGAGGAACATACTAGATATTTCAAAGGTACTTCATAAGATGGGTGGGCACCTAAAGGAACTGCCTTACAGAGGAGACAACACTTGCATCAGGGAGATTGTTCACACTGCCTTTACTTACTTTATTTTCTACTTCCTCAGTAACGCGTTTGATTTTTTCTTTAGTATCTTCTGTCAAAATGTTCAGCTGATTTCGAACAAAGTCCAATCTATCCTTCTGATCTTCTCTCTGTTCCATTGAAAGGACTCTAATGTGGCAGAAAGGAAAGGACCATCACCAGCAGGTATTCTCCCAGTAATGAAAGAAGCCCCAAAACCAGGCACGGACCACCCAGCTGATGATGGATGCAGCGTGACCCTGGCTGAGGACAGCAGAGGCACTGCTTCAGAGTGACTGCAGTACGGGCACTGAACTCACAGGGGCACTTAAAGGCTGCACTGACTGAACGTAACTCATATTGCTGGGGTTTGATATATTTACAAAAACAGCATCTCCAGCTGGAATTGTTACCACTGCATGTAATTGCAACTAAATCAGGGTCTTTAATGCTTACTCTGTCTGATTTAAAAATAGGAAAAAAAAAAAAAAAAGGATAAATCCAATCAAACTGTCCTACTGCTGCTCACCAGCACCACTCAACTATTCCTTAACAGTGACATGGGGCTGAAAACCCTGCAAAGCAAAGGGGAGACAGCAGAAACCAATCTGGTCACAAACAACTCTCTTCAGAAGTCCCCAACCTATCATTTCAGTAAAAATTGCTTAAAATCTAAAGCAGTTCTATCTTGAAGGGCCAGCAGAAACACCAGACAGCAATTTAGATTAAGAGGGATCACTACAGAGTTTCTGGCAGGTCAACTGACAGGAAGAAGTAGAATATCAAAATATTTTCAAACATTTCACAGCATGTTTCCATAGGATCTGACAACGTGAGACCAGTTAGTATGTAAACACACAGTCTGTAAAAGCTGACACATTCAGGAAGATGAGTGTGTTTGACAGGCACAGTGGAGTCTGTTGAAACCAAGACTATTAACAGACACAGAAAGGAGATGGATGGAAAGGATTAAATGTGACAGCAAGTTCACCGTGTACAAGACAAACAGGAGGTCGCAACGAAAGCAAGGAAAGAAATACATAGGCAAACCTCAAAGAATATATGACACTACCAGACAGAGAAAACGAGCTGCTATCGTTAGCACTAAATCCTAAAAAAGGATTACGTGAGCAAGAGAGAACAAAGATATTTAAGGATACAATCTGGAAAGGGCCAGAGGCCAAGCCTCTGTTAGCCTGGGTTCTTATCATCCCTTCCAGCGTTCTAACCACTTGCCAATTAAAGTGTCTATGTCTCCATTTATTGTCTCCGTGTTACTGTTAACAAAAAACTTCAGTAAAGCAGGCCCAAACTTCACCTCCAAAATGCTGGATACTGCTAGAAAAAAAATTAAAATTTCAAATATTTTAAAAGTAAGATTTGAAAGCCCACAGACTGCCTTTGTAACTGTAAGTCAGTAACGAAGAGTACCAGAGCAAACCCAGATCCCTACACACAGGTCACAGACCAAGGACAGGACTGAGTGGTGCAAGTGAACAGTGGTAAGCCTGACACACCAGAGAAATTTTCTCTTTCTTACCAAGCAAGGAGAGTGACTTTTAAAGTCCACAACGGCCCAAGAAAATCACCAGCACAGAAACAGGTCCTCAGAGGATCTGGAGACACCAAACCCATCAGCCCTCCAAGCAACCTACCTTTTCTCTGCTGCTGCTACGTTTATGGCGTCCATAATGTCTTTCACAGTGTCTATGATCTGTTTAGCTCTGACAGTGTGCTGCTCAAACTTGGTTTTCACGGCTGACTGCGAGATACACTCCTGCGAGGGGCCCAAGCCACAACACATTACTGCAATTCCATGCCAACACACTGAGGAATTTCACTGCCAGAAAGCACATGCTGCTCATTTTACCATGAAGTTAAACCAATGGGAAATGAAAAAGGAGAAATTATATAGAAATTAAAAGACAACAGAACTGAAATCTCAAGTGAGTCTATAGCAGCAAATGTGTACCTTCTTCTGCTTCATTCACAGTAATGTGCGTAGGTTTTTATTCTGTTCAAATAATAGTGTGAAGAAAAAAAAAAGAAAACTCAAGATGGATACATAAGATAAACCTAGCTCCTCAGAAAATTTTCCGGACTCTCTTTTCAGAATTAAAAGTGTCTAACATGAATCCTGGCAATATTGCCTGGCTTGATTTTTCTTGCAGTATGTATTTTTTAGTTTCAAGAATCAGTTCTGTCAAAAAAATGTGACATGCTCATGTCAATACTGACCATCCAGGACCAAAATACACAATTAGGAATAGGAAACAAGGATTATTTCACAGGATAAAACCCCAGCTGTTAAGTAGTCCATAGAATGTTAGCTTATTTGCAGATTAGCAAAGTGTTGAATGAGTAGAGAATGCTCTGAGGTTACAAGTTCTAATTAGTCTGCAATCTTTAATATTGCTCAGTGTTTCAGAAACTATAGGACACTAAAGAGATATGCAAATGTTCAGTTCGGGCAAAAGCAGGTCAGTTGTGGTAAGCCACAAATTAAGACTGACTTTTTCAGGCAACTGCACATTTTGAGCTACACGGCCGATTAAATGCTGTCAGAATTCAACCCGCACTAAGTCATCACAAAGCAGCAACTTCCATGTTTGAGGGGAAGAAAGCAAGCAGCTAGTTTCCTTATAACAGATCTATGGAGTTTTAAAAGTTGTTCTCAATCTCTGGATGCACCTTTCATAGCACAAACAGGCAGCTTTTGAAAGACTTGCCTATGACCTTGGCATATGCTGTCATAACAAATTTCAGCTATGTAAAAATAATAGATTAAACCAAAATAAACAAAATGGATAAAATGTATCCCCTGTTCCTCGATGAAGCAGATCTAGAAATCAGCAGTGAAAGGCCAGAGTTTCATAAATATCAGCACATTGTAAGAGCTAGACTAGACACAGAGGAAAGTCTTCCCAATGTTAGTATGCAGTAGATAAAAGGATGACAGTCACTCACAACACAATCAGAAATTCCAAGTTAGAGCACTAGGAAAAACACAAAGGTTAATTAAAAGACTGGGAAAGATAAAAGCAGGACAGCAGCAGCTTTGCTGTTAGTCTGTGAATAAGTATTTACTGAAACTAGGAAGAAAGGTACGTTTCAACAGTGTCACCAAAACCAGTTACCTTCCAGCCCACTTCCAGCATAGCAAGACAGCCTTTAAGCACACAGCGTATCACATTCCTGCAGTACTGTACTAATCCAGGCTCTCTTACTCACTCCAGTTTACAGCCAGAATTACTATTCCACCCTGACTCCCCCCTCCACTCCTCCCCACACTGCTCCTGTTACCAGTTTTGTGAACAAACTTGGGAAATGCTACAGCCTGAGGCAGAGTGGGGTTTGGGTTTCTGTGCAACACCCATCAGGAGTACTGCACAGACAGCACTGTGCGTGCACCTCTTTGCTGTTTCAGTAAGGTGCTTCTGTCTGTCTCATTGTAAAATTTCAGAAGCAAGATCCATGGAATACTTTCTGTTATTGGACAATATAAAAATTCAGAACTGATCCACCAATTCAACCCTTTCCTTTAAGGCCGTCTATCTTTTTTGCTTTGTTGTAATAAGGTAAAGTACAGAGTAACATCACTTTGTAAAGCTATTACGTGAATCTCAAAATTTTAATTTCACCACTGCTCACAAGCATTTCTAGAAATGCCTGGAACAGTTCTTCTTGTAGCAATTTTAAACATTTAACCACCCTGTGCTTTGCAGAAAAACTTGTTTTCAGAATGCCTTTTGCCCTCACACACAAGTCTACATAAATGGAGTTATAAACCTTTCAAAAATGGTCCAGATTTCTTCCTATATCACAGCTAGCACTGATGGGTTGTTTCTAGATATTTATTTATTTATTTCAAATATTCTAGCTATACTGAGGTCCTATCAGTCCTGGGATGAACAGGTTTTCCTCTCAGGGAACTGATACTAGAACCAGGAAAGTGGAAGTACTGGAGAAGTAAAACTTCCTCTTCTCGGCCCACACAGAAAAGAGGAAGAAGCTGCCCAATTTTAGTGAGGACAAAAGCAAGGTGAGAGAATCCAGAAGGAGCAAAACCAGCAGACAGAGCCAGTGGAAACAAGGAACATGTGGATGGGTTTATAAATGAAATTATGCGATACCTTGGAGGTGTGAACTGGACAAAAGAGCAGGGCACCTGAGCAGGGACCAGGAGTTGAAGGCAAGACAGACAGACTGAGGCAGGGAAGGGGCTGATGATGACAGACAGAAGCATCTTTGCCCTCATCCCTTACTGAGCTCAAGTGACAGTAATTTGACTATTAGGTCTGAAGATTTCAGACCTAGTGAGCCATTTAAGTGTCAGCCTTGCTTTAAAAGGAAATAAAATGCTGTCGTAACTTCAGAAATTGCACACAAAACCTGAATTTGTGACAGAGGCTGCAACATCAGAAACTCAGAATTGCTTCAGCAACCTTAATTTAGCACATGTTATTATGCTCTTCAAGTGGTGGGATCACACCCCTACTCAAAGCCATTCATTAGGGTTTCAGGATGAAGCATGGCTGAGCAGGGAGAAACACTCCAGAATCCAACCTCACTGTTGAACTCAGGTGTGCAACAAATGAAACAGATAAAGTGGAAGAAGAAGAAAAAGTTGTTTTAAGGCCATTCAGTGCTGTCACAGAATTGGTTTTTGTCCTTGCCTCTACCAAAGAAACTCATCATGGTTGTGACCTTGTGATGGATGCTTCCCATTTGGGTGGCTAGCATGAGACTGTGACATCAGATTTATAGATGTGCTGAGCACTTAAAGCAGCACATCACTTAATAAGTCATACATCCATCTTAATCTTGAAATACCCTAAGTGATGAGTGCTGAACCATAATTGTAAGATTTTGTCAAAAAAGCTTTGGGTACAGTCTATGGCAAAATATGTTGACGAACGATCACTGATTTAGAAACTTAATTGCCACTTTTCCTACTGGTTGAAAGTTGGTTACTGTAGTTCTAAGGACAAAAATTACAAACAAGAACACATGTTTGGCTACAGCTAGTGACACAAGCAAGAGATTTCATGCCTCATGGACTCAGGCCCTGTCAGAATTCTGAGCCAACCATTTCAGTAACTAAGTCATCTATCGTAAGACTGCGGATAAGGATTAAATCTAAACTTTAGTCTTGACATTTTCTTGCATTGTCAAGACTGAATAAAGCTGTTACTATTACCTTTATGATGTGCACTTTAAATTGGTTTTGCTAAGGTCAAATAGGCTTGTTGCAAGGAGAGAAGGAATACCTTTCAGAGGCAGTTTGATTTTTTTAAAACACACCAAACAAGGAATTACTGGCTGAAGCGTGCCAAGGGCAGCCTTGAGCACTTGCTGCATACAAACTCCAGTCATAGTGTTGAGGCTGAGGTTCGATGAAGTATGTCAGCACATACCACACAACACAATCAAGGCATATCCAAAATGCCTCCTTAAGATATCCAAGAATGGCTTTAATTAGTTTTCAAATTCAGCAAGACAAATGGATCCTATCACAAAGAAATTACTCAACTGTCTAGCCATGACTAGAACATGAAGAAACTGTAAACTCCAACTATGAATGTAAGGAAACTGAGGGTGAAGGACAGGTTCTGTACATCCACAAGGATGCAAAAATATTGTTAGTGTTCAGAGCATTAGAGATAAAAGGTAGATATGGTGATAATTTCAAAACTCTGGCTTTAAAAATGCAAGTAAATATTTAGATTTTACATTGCTGAAACAGAATTTGTGACTATTTGTGCCCTGAATTACAATAATTAATTACAAAGCTAATTTAAGAACAAAACAAGGCTTCCTATACAGCAAACATTTCACTACAGAAAGACTATGTTTGCTATATCAGCTCAGAGTCCAGTTTTAGACCTCTCCCTGACTGAATAGCATTTCTTTTTCCAATAACTACCTCAATTCAAGGTGAGAACAGATGAGCAGAGCCCACAGACACAGCAAAGCTGTCACAGTTGGGAGTATCTTACACTCCCCCACCCATTAACATGGGTAATGTTCAGTAAAATTAAGCTAAGCACAAGCAAAAGCTCTGTTTGCATTAAAGACCAGGCAGTCTAGAAACCCCATCATAGATACCTCAAATATCTGCTCAAAATGCTGAAATTCCTGCAACCTTGTTTGAAATCCTTCAGCAAGCGCTCCACCTGCGAAACACAACAGGCCATAAGGCAGAGAGAAAGATCTCACAGCAGTGACTCTAGCTTAAATATTTTTGTTTCTCGGGTTTTATGGTATTTTTCTCTATTTGAGGAAAAGCAAGAGATCCTACACACCACCCTCTGGCATTCCTTGAGCCTTCTGCCTCCTGGCACTCAGAACTTCTTTTGCTGAAACAAAAAAGATACGATTCCTTGCTTCTACAGCATCAATCACTTTGAGCTCATCAACCAGAAAAGTCAGGCAGCGCTCCATGTGCTGCCGACGCACCTGAGGAAGAGGCAAAAAGCTCATGAGAAAAATGCAAAAATTGAGCCACCATCAAATCAGAAAATCAGAGTTGGGGAGAGATGCTAACAACCCCCTTAGACAGCAGACATCTTTTAACCCCAGTGACAGAGCAGCTGCTTTCAACCACTTAAACAGCCCTGGAAGAAGTAATATTTTATTCCACAACTGTCTCTGTTTAGGTAAGCTACTTGCTGTTGGAAAGCTCTGAAGAGCACACCAGAACTGTTACCATCTAACACTGAACTCTGCAGCTGCTCTAGGTAAGTATACATGTATAATCTGTACCCTCAGGCTGTACTACCTTTGCAGAAATAAAAGGTAAAACAAAGGAGGTTTAAAACAAGCTGAACTGTGGAGGGAAAAAAGTTCTAAAGACGTTTCTGATTGTATTACCTGCTGGCAGATATCATAGTTTGAACTGCAGGTTGCTTTTTGCTCTGAACCAAATAACTTCTGCTTTTATTAGTAAGGCAAAGCTGGTGGCTTCATATTAATAACCCTACTACCTATACATGTGGAGATCCTTCCCTTATACGTACATTTATATTTATTTTTTAAAAAAATCAACCCAAATAAGAGCCAACAAATCACTCACATCTTCCATATACTCTGGTTCTGACGCAGAGGCATCCCATCTATTATTCAAGATGAAGATGTTTGGCTTGGAAAGTCGTTCATTCACTTTATGGAAAAAGTGTTTCTCCTACAAATTAAAGCACAGACAGAAAACTCCCCAGACATCGAAATGAGAGTCACACATTACTCTGCAACAGATTATGAAGTTAATCCAGCTTTTAAAAAGTTTATTAAAAATAATTCATCAGCATTAAAACCCACAGATATCCAACACCAAAAAAGGTTTACGATAAGCCAAAAGCCACCAAATGTCCTAAAGTCTACGTAAATGCTAGAAGTCAAATGTACTGCAAGCTTCTCTAAAAACAGGTACAAGTAAAACTGCAAATTTCCAAAGTTTAGAAAACACTGGAAAATAAAGTCTACTTTTCTACAAATCTACCGTGTCATTCACTGCATTTTCTTTTTCCTTCTTCTTTCACTCTTATTATCACAAAAATTCATCTCCTTTGATACTTCTAGCCCTCTACTACATTTGCTTGCAATTGTATGATGCTCAAAATATCGTTGGGGAAGACAGGAAACAAAAAAGAGGACACAAGACATAACTGTATCTGCTCATTTTGGTTTTTAAATAAGACACCTGGCTACTAACACCTAACACTTCCTATATGAAGGTGTATGTTTTGAATCACAGGAAAAAAGTCAGTGCTGAATGTTTTAATTTTATAAAGAAGACATGCATGTGGCTGAACATGTATTTAGAGTCCCTCACCCATACCTAGCACCCATAATTGCTGTTTAAACATGATGGAACGAACCCCCACTCAGCACAGTGAAACAGAAGGGGTCTCTGTGCTGCCATAGGCTTTTTGATTCTGTGGCAGGACTTCACCACGTGCTCTGGACATAACACTGGAGATACATTCATTTCCATCAGTCAGGGAGTGAGCACGTGGAAACAAGATTATTGCTACAGAAATAAGAACTTTGTCTGATGAGAATTTATCAAGGAATATTAGAAAAATCATGAAATGTGTGGTTGTGTAGCAGCTGCCAAGTATTCTCAAACCTGTTATGGCGAGAGGTAAAAATAATGCCTAAGGAGGATAAGAACACAGTTACCATATGCTTCACCTGAAGGGTAAACTTGTGTACATGAAGAAAAAAAATATCATTTGCCACAATGCAATGCAAAAATGCTTTAGAGCAGTTCCATAATTGTTAGAGGCAACTTCATTTGTTGTTTCATTCTACCAGGCTGAAAAAATTAAAAAGGACAAAGAGTAAAAGAGCTGTTTACTGAGCCAAAGCCTCAGTCACAACTAAGATCTGCTTCCCTTCCCTCCCATACACACCCTGGACACTGGTGATTTCCAGATCTAGTAATTACACGGTGTTCAGCGAGGATCTATAGACATGGCAACCAAAACACCTCAGCAAGACTTTAATGGTTGGAACAAATGGCAAGACTAACCTATTTCTATTTAGCAGCTTTCAGCCATGCCCAAGAAGGAAGAAAGACTGGCCAAAAATCACATTAAAAAGCAGAGTAGCACTTCTGTCACTGGGTGTCTAGGACCAGACAAATAGAAAACTAGCAGAAACTTCTGGCAGATGCCCAGCTATTTGCCTTTCCTGCATATTTATCTCAGTCAGACTGGTTTTAATAGTTCATTTTCCTGAGCAAATGCAAGAACCAAATCAAATATGGACTGTTACTTCATTACATCAAAGTGAAACCTGGCACACAGCTCCCTATTATTTCTGTGTTTCTATACAGTAATGAGATGTTTGCTGAAACAAAATCTTTTTTTTCCCCCCTTCCTCCTTTTTTTTTTTTTTTTTTTAAATTAAAAAAGCCCCAACAAACCAACTATGGTATACACACAATGTAAATAACTTCTAGACTCCTATATACTAAACGCCAGAGTGTCCCTTGTGAGATAACAGAGAAGATAAACCCATAGTTGTTCCAAATCCTCTCTCTTCCTTGAATGTTGTCAGAATTTTCTTTTTTCCCCCCCTTTTAAATCACATTTCTCTTCTATTTGAGACTTTGTGGATTCAGCTCAGAAAATGGAATGTAATGGTTTTAAATTCATTTTATGTTCTTTTCAGATTTCTGCCAAACCATTCTAATTTGCTAGACTGCAAGGAAATACTGTATTTGTACATTCAGTTTGTTCTACTAAAAATTGCCTCAATGATAAGGAAGTTCAGACACTTCATGTCAGAACGATGCTCAGAACAATTAGAACATTTTATTTGTTCACAGCAGGTTTAATAGAAGTCTTCAAGAGACTTCTCTGTAGCTTTAGACTACATTCTTGCAGTCACACTTCCAATAACTTAGAAACCTTATATTGTCTGCACTCACAATATTTATTTCAGTCAAAACTGGAGATCACTAGAAAATTAAAGCAAACTTCTGGTCCTGTACTTTGAATATCACAACAGTTCCTTTGGGCACCTTGCATGCTCTCCTTTGACATGCCATACAACATTTGGGCTGCAAGGTATACGGAAGTCTTCTCTCTCTTCAAACAAGGATTTATAGAATAAAGGTGTTAAAACATCTTCAGCTCTCCGTGTTGCACAGAGCCATGCAACATGAATGCTTATTGTGAGCATCTTCTTCAGAAGAAACTCAGTCCCAATGAGGGGAACCTGTAGCACTTGCCCTCAACACAAGGTGTATCAAGGGAATTCACACTCTTGAGACAAGAAGACATAAGAAACAAGACAGAAGAAATTCAATCTCCTTCACCTACTTTGTTTATTTCACTCAACTTCTGGATATGAAATACTCCATAAGTTATTTACTTCGTAATACAATTGCCTTCAGCTGACAAATTCTGACAAACTGTAAAGCAAGACAAGACTGGATCATGTATTTATCCAAAAAGAAACTAAGATAGAAAGGACAAATGGGATGCTCAAGTCAAGAGTAAATAAAGCTGGTAAGATACTGGGTTCTCCTTTCCCTAGTGAGGGATATACACCGTTCCTTGCCTCCTACCCCCAGATCCTATTCGCAAGATCTAAATCCAAGGATTCATGGGAGCTTCAGTGAAGATCTAAGAGAAGCTATTTCAGTTACACAATTGCTGAATATTTAAGCTAAGAAGTAATGTAAACTCATTGCACGTCATACCGTGTTCATGAGAGTTGATTCAGAATTGGCCACCAGGACAAACACGTCAGCATCTAAGCAGAATTTGTCAATCCAGCTGTCCAGTTCTGTAGTGACATCTGTGCCAGGGCTGTTGAGAATAAAACCCCCAAACTCATATTTACATGGTGAAAGAGCATTTGATATTTATAAACTGATAAAAATAGAGTGGGATTGAATAAGGGTGTTGTAAGAAGATGCAAAGATATCTTTAGGCTGATGCCTACCTCAAGCTTAAGGCAAACATAGCAAAAGCCAATTACCATGTAGCGTTTATCAGTCACTCACTCATTGGGGCATCTGCTTATTCCAAAATGCAACTTCTGATGAATAAGTGCACAGACCATAATTGCCAGGAAAAGTGACAGGCAGCCCGTCAGCCCCACAGGATGGTCCCCCACCTGTATCCCACGTTTTAGATTTAAATTAAAAAGGACAGCTGTTCATAAAGTATTTTTTCCATTAATAAAGGTCTACTTCAAACCGATACACTGTGAAAGCTGTGCATAGATTTAGTAAGAAACTAAAATGCAGTTAAAACTTTAGTGCTGGCAGTTTTAAAAAAGTGGAATATGAGCATTAGGTCACGTCCGTAATACCTCAGTGACTGCTGGTTCAAGTTTTCTCTATTTAGCAGTAAAAAGATTATTTTCTCCCTCCAAGTACCTGTTCTTTCAGAATCCAGGCTGTTTTCTTTTCTCTTTACCTTCAGTAACCGAGCCTGTGCTGACCAAACCATGCCTCACACCTATCCATGCAAGGCTCCCTTCTGGGCTTCCAGCACAGCTGTGCTACACACGTGTCCCCGAGGAAACAGCACAACTGCCTCAGCAGTTGTCAAAGCAACAGCTTTCAGTACAGAAGCTGCAGAAAATGCCAGCCCAACCCACAAGCACATGCAGCCAACACAGTCACAACCCTGTTTTGAGGTCACCTGTTACTTTGATATGCAGGCACTGCAAGGCTTATCAGAAGCTTTTAGAATGAAATCCAGATTGCTAACACTTCACATGATTGGTCTGAAGTGTTCAAAGACAGGATACAGGCAAAAGGCTGTTGCTGCAACAACCCTATTCCCACTTCCATCCTGTTGGTTTTAAAGGTGGAAGTATCCTCAGCCAAAAGCTAGTCAGTCCTTTATTCAGCTCAATCACAAGGCACTGGTCTGGTCCAACTGTTCCACAGCCAGAATCAGTGGGGTAATGACAGGCAACAGTATATACAAGGGAACAAACTCTCTACTCTCAAAAAAAACAAAAAGCCTTTCAATAATTTTGCAACTGAACAACTAAGACACAATCCATCAGTAAACCAGGCTCTCTCCTAAATGTTATAATGACTAATTTATTTAAGAAAACATTTACTAAAACAGAAAACATACCTGTCCACTAAAACCAAATCATCTCGCAGCAGGGCACATTTTGACTTTGGCCAAAAGACATGGACCAGACACCCAGCTTTCAAATCTTTATCCATGTGAAGTGCATGAGCAAGCTGATTGACAGTCTACAAAGAGAAGACAAACATGAATATGCACCACAACCAAGTCTGTAAACCAGTCTAATTCAGTTGTTAGGCACACCTGGACTGGATCTATCTGGAACAGAATAATAGAGTTCATAGTTCCTTCTGGTGAACATTTGCTATTTTTTGGTGGGTTTGTTTAGGCTTTTAGGGCTTACCAGTATCTGAAGAACAATTTGTGCCCTGAAACTCAGGAGTTTCTTTCCTCTACAGTGCTAAGAGGGTGTGACTGTGAGTGTCATCATGAACAGGCCTCAGAAGTTTAACATGTCAACATGAACAGTCAAAATAAGCTAAGCATTATATGGCCAAATGGGAGGCACATTCCAAATCCTTAACAAGTAACAGAACTATCAGTCCTATAAAACCAAATCACTCAGTATATGCTACATTACAATGAGACACACATTAGTTGTTTCCCTGAAATATCCAAGAAAAACTGCAAAGCAGATCACTTTAGTTTGTTATTTCAGCCTAAATAAGGCCTTGAATGTAGAAAGAGTTAGCCTTAGACTTGTTAGACCTGAAACTGTTGTTCAAAGACAGATCTTTTGAGAAATAGTTACTCTGAAAAGTAGTGTTCATCTTTCAAAAAAAAAAAAAAAAAAAAAAAAAGTACCTTGACACTCTTCTTTTCATCTGATCCTTCTGTCATAAGATAAGCCTTATCTCCATCCGTCCCTTCCACGCTGAGAAAGCAGTTAGTTGTATGGCCAATCCCACTGGGAAGCACCTTATCCCACAGCATGGCATTAATGACCGAACTCTTCCCGCTGCTCGTTCTAGAGGGACAGAAACCAAGAGCACCCTGAGGGCAGTTCAGCAGCACTACACGTACCTCTGGAGCTGAATGTGCCCCCATCCCATTGCACCAGACCCACGCACTGCAAACTGGTTTGGGGGACAGGGCTTCCAGCCAGTCCAATATAGCTTGCCAGAAAAGAATAGGGAGTGCAGGGAAAGTTCATCTGAACAGCAATTCCAAAAGTCTTTCTTGGTACCAACATTACCTAGCCAACCAAGAGAACCAATTTTCATTCACTTAGCATACACTGGCTCGACAAGCCCAACCTGTACTGGCAACTGTGTGTTTTGTCTGGTATACCTCAATCTGCACAAGCATTTTGTAAAATACGGGCTCAACCTCACTATACCAGAAAAAAAAAAACATAAAAAGCTGCCTTAGACCAACTTAAAGCAATGACTAAATCACAGGAGGCTGTCCCACATGGGGGCAGGCACCCTGTCCTCTTCTCTGTGGCAGCCCCAGTAGTCCTGGATAAAAGAACGGATTGAAAATACATGTAACGTTTTGGACAGAATTATGTTCTGGTCAGACAATTCCACATTCCCTCTCACAGAAAAGCTGAAGAAATTACAGTAATGCTGAAGGATGACACCAGGAGAATGCTGCATGACAGGGACACTGAAAGCCTACCCTCAGTGGTGGCAATCAACAGTGACTCTCTAAAATACCAATGAAATTATCACCTCAACAACTTCACCTGGTTTTAGAGAAATATCTGACCTTTACCAGTCAGAAAGGAACTGCTGCTCCTGACAGAGTCAGGAGGCACAAAAAGAGTATGATGGTCCTACTGCCTTCAGCTATGTTTCAAAGCATTGCTGTCTGAGAATTCTCATCATAGCCAGCAGTGACAACTCAAAACAATTCAATGGCTAATTATCTCAACTGAATGAAGATTCCTATAGTAATATGTGAAACAATGCGAAAATCCCTCAAATTTAGTACCTACGCATAATCCTTATAAAGCAAATGTTGTCTTTAAGAATGGAACTTAATCTTGTTCTTATTAGGCAGAGTTAGCTAAATTAACCCAAACCTGTTGATTAAAAAGAACCAGTCATCGTTCAAGATTCTGTAAGAACCTGAAGTTCTCAACAATGTCCTACTTCACACTAACCTTCTACCCCTCACCCATAAATGTTTAACTATTACACAACAGTATGAAGTTACAGAGACTATAATTCATTTTTGAGATGCTACTTCTAGAAAAAGTTCAGTGCTTACTGTGCAACAGTTTCCAAACTTATTCACAATGTCCGATGGAGAGTTTAAGTCTCTTTTTCCTGCTCTAAACTTCTGCCCTTTGCAAAACCAACTTTTATCACACATTGCGCAGCTTGTAAATGTACTCAGCTTTTAATCTGGTGAAATATCAAGGCTGAGACAGAACCAATTTCTTTATCCTAGATCCTTCTATCGCTTTTTTTAAAATAGCTGAACTGTTTTTAGCAGTGAGGGAAGATCACTGTTGTACATGTTTTTTCCATACTATTAGAGAATTTTTAGAACTGCAACATTAAGATGAACTCTAGAAAGAAAATGTAACCACATGCTTCAATTTAAATACAGAAAAATCAATCTTCCTGAAGCAAAATGAACTAACAGGCCCGAGACCAACCAGACATTTGAAAATACTGCAATTGTACTGGTCTTTTACAAGAACTTTACTATTTTCTATCTGACTTCACATTCAATAAGGCAGATTTACATCATCTTTCTAGACCCTTTGAATTTTATAGCAACAGAATGGCACAGTGTTTGGAATGCAGACATTTATTGCAAGTGTTTAAGACCTAACCAAAATTTTTCACTGAAAGTTTAAAGGCTTCTCCACTAAGATCAGACTGGAAGGTAAAACATTATACATACAAGCAAAGAGACAAAACTCAAGTGCTCTAGGTCTATACACCTGACAGCATCTCTTTAGAATACCTCTCATACAGTAACATTTTTCAGGTGCAATAAACACCTTTCTTTTTGACTCCTTTTTTTCCTGCAACAAAAATAAAAAAATATAGCTGAAATGATCCTAAGCTGACCAAAGTTAAAAGTTTTCTAATGCTGAAAATAGATTTTTTTTTTTTAGAACAGAAGTGAATTTCTATCACTCTTAACTTTGGAAATGCTATCTAAATACGCAAAAGGTTTGACAGTTTCGCTTTGTAGTAATACCACCGACTGTGAGCTAGAACTCTTCCTAGTTAGTGATCTGGGAAAGTAAAAATTCCTAGCTTCATTCAGATTCTTCTGTAAGGCATACAGTGCATTGCTACTGTTATCCCTTAGAATCATCCCATGTATCTATCTGTCAGACTACTACAACAACCAGCAATGCAACTGACTCTTTTGCTCTTCAGCTGCTTAAATACAGAAACATAAACAGATCAAAGTTTAGTTTCCCAGTGCTTAAGGTCAAACACAAACAAAAGTTCTCAACCCTAACAGCCCAGTAAAACGAAGATACCAGAGAAACAAAGCCACCACTTCAAGAAAAGCCGTTCTGGAGAAGATGATGACAAACTCAGACCTTCCCCAAGTAAAAAACGTATCTATGCAGGATGATGATTCTACAAAGTTTATCAATGAAACAGACGTAACAAGTCACAGATAATTAATCTACAGTTATGACACAAGATGGCATCAAAGAAACATCCAACACCAATTAAATAAAGCAACAGAGAACATGGTTTTATTTGTTATATTTCAAGCAATGATTCTAAGATGAAGCACTAATCCCAGCGTACTCAAATTAGAAATACGGACACTAAGCTCTGCAAGAGAAAAGAAAACAACAAAAAAGATCAAATTAAATTCTGGTAATTCCATTCATTACCTGCCAAAAAACGCCACTTTCATGTGTCTCCGTGCAAGCACCTCACCGATGACTGCTAACTTATTTTTATATGCCTGAATTTTTGCTAGTTCATCTTCTGTCGCTACATGTTCAAGCTCTGGGTTCCTGTATGTTGCTACATGAAGAAAAAGAATAACATGAAAGCAATCACATATGGAGTCCATGCTCCAGGATGCATAAGGTACATTATCAGTACTTCACATGCCACAGAAATCTGTATAAATTTTAATTATACAGCGGTAATAAAACAAAATAAAAAAAACCTCACTGCCGACACTGATATTAGCCCTCCTCATTTGACAGCTCCACCACAGTCGCTTGTGAAATGATGCCACAAATCACTGCAGATGAGTACCAGTCTACTTGCGGGGTTCAATAACCCTGTGCACACAGCCTGCTGTGCTCACCTGTCCCCTTAGCAAAGGGGAGCCGGGACCTCTCTGGGATACCCTAGCTAGCCTGGGCTCTCTTCTCCCTGGGGTAATCACTGGGGTGATGAGCAACCAAGTTCATGTGGCGACACACGCCTCCATACCACTAAAACTTCTGAGGGTGTTACCAGTGGTTCTTCGTGTTACACCGTGTGGAGCTACCCTCCTACTGAATAATGGGAGAACCTGTTTTTCTTTTCCTCTATGCAAAAGAAACTGAAAAATGATAATAAACACTGGAGCAGTTGTCACCCTCATGGAAAGGGGGCCAGGCTACCAGCCCAAGGGATGGAATCAGCTTTCCATATACACAACCATCCTCAACATTCCTGTTGGCCTAAGTTGAAAAAAAACAACGTCAAATGATAAATACGACTGTCTGTGAAGGTGCATGCTCACACAGACAGCACGCTGACAGGTCTCACAACGGGCACTGCGCTCCTGTAAAGCTCCCTCAAAGCAACAGACAAGGCCCTTGTGTTTAAGATGAAAGCTCACCTTCCACAAAAGTTGCTCCCTCGGTGACATAGTCCAGCAGCTGGTCGAAGATGGCTGTGATGGTCTTTTTAGCCAGCACGAAATGCTTCAGTGGAGAGACGGTAGCTTCTGCCATTATGCAACTGCAAGGAAAGTTACATAAAAGTGACCAAACTGCGCGGTAGGCCCCTGTGGGTGAGCAGACCCAGGCTGCTCACCCAGTCCCTGGGCACGAGCAAAGGAGAGCACCCAGCGCCGAGCCCCAGCGAACGCCCGGGCGCTCAGCGCAGTCCGTTATCGCCCTGCCGAGCGCCGCGCTCCCCTCACCACACGCGCCGACAGCGGCTCACGAGGCTCGAGGACAGGTTTTAACCGATTCGGTTCCGTTTGTCCTGGAAACACGAGACCTCCCCCTCCCCACCCGCGGCTTCCCACTGCCCGCAGGTCGGTGCCG